TGAACTGATGTTACTGAAGACACCAAAAATGACGTTCTCAAAATTGCATTTATTAACACAATTTATGTACATAATGTTCTCTACTCACAAACCAAAGAGACTGAGGTAACAAAATACCCTTTTGTACAATGAGTTAGGAAACACTGAAGTGTTACATTTGGTCCTTTGTACCTGAGAAGCTGAAAACAGCCGTTGGTGATGGACACTGGATGAAAACTCAAATTTACTTCTGATTACAGACCACCCTAGGACCTCCAGAATCTATCCCTTTGCACCAGCGGTTTGCTCCCCAGCAAAGCACCGAGTAGTTGGGGGCCATCGCGTTATCACCAGTCAGTGCAAGGACCACTGACCTGGGGACTGAGCAGAGTGAGGCATCAGCTGTGCCCTGCTCCCCCAAAATTACAAGGTGCTGCAAGGAGAGGGGGCAAGGCAGCCCCCTGCCTTCTGGCAGAAGCAGGCAGCAAGACCTCTGGAAGAGCAGCTGCTACTACTCTACCTGTGACATGTGAGGGGGCAGCGATGGCAGCGGCCTTTGTGGGAAGGGAGACACTGGCCTTCAGCCTGTTCCACCCCTGGCTTGAAGGGAGAAAAAAATTCCTAGAGAACCATTTTATGTCCCTGCAGCAAACTCATCATCCTCACTTTCCTTTTATCACCCCTGGGAATTTTGAGTGAGCACGTTTGGTTTAGTTAGGGGGACTTATTTTTTTTTAGCTCCATCATCTCATCTCCAGCCAACCAGTTAGGGTCCTGTTTTGTTCCTATAATCGGAACAGGAGGTGCAAAAGCAATGAAAATAGTAGTAGCACCACAGCAAGAATTTTGCACCCCTTCCAGATCCTTGTGGGAAGAAAAAAGGATTTAATGTGACTCTCACTGAGACACAGGGGTGTGTGACATCCAAATATAGGACCCACCTTGTATTTCAGATGAAAAAAGCTTTTTGCTTGTACATGCTGCTACATGACAAAAAGAAAGAAGGAAATAAAAACTACAATCCTGTATTAGCAAGAATAGCTCTAGTATCACTGTACTAGGGTGTGTATGTGTATATTTTTTGCCACATGGAATATACATTCAGGTCTCCCACATTAAACAAGGTTCTACAAAAATAAGCTCACATGTTTCCTCTAGAATTTCCATCACCAGCACCACATGAACGCACAGTTCAATTTATGTCCAACTGTAAAGAACTACCTACCCGAGATAGTCTTTCCAAAAAAACAGAAGGGAAATTAGAAGTGTGAATTTTATTAGGGCGCTGGTAAGGTCTAGACTGTACAGAGCTACCCAGCTAGGCAAGCCTGGGAAAATCAACCCGACCTCTGCACGGCTCTGCAGTTGCTCGGGAAGAAGGAAACGCAGCGCTTGGCTGCTCCGAGCCAAGAACTTACGTGACTCCAGATGAGACAGGACTATGGAAATACGTACACTGCGATTGCAACGCTATGGAAATGAGCAGCAGCAGCAATAAAGCTGACCTCAGCAGCACTACTGAGCATTCAGCGCGGGCACAATTTGGTCAAAAAAGAAAGTGTTTGCAAATTATGAAAAAAATAATAATACCTGTATCAAAATAAAAAAAAGCAAAAATATAAACCAAGTAATGCAGCATTCTTTAGGGCAGTCTCTGCAGTTATAATGAGTTAAAAGTACAAACTTTAATGAGCCCAGCCGATTTAAACAGACCATGAAGCTTCTGTGTCATGTTTTCAGAACCAATGAAAGGGCTTTCGCATCAGTCGGGTCTTTCCAGTTGCAAGGAAACATCTGCACTAGCTTTCTGCATGTTGAAGTGACTGGCAGGAAAGGGCAAATCAGAGGTACGTCAGGAATTGTCTTAACCAGTGACCAGGTGGGTGGAACAACATGAACCACCAAAACGTAATATCTTTTGTAAGTAGAAGAAATAAAAGAAGCTGAGGAGTATGGTCAAGAAATAAGTTAAGAGTGCCAAAAAAACCCCCAAAAAGTAATTCTCAGTTGGACTGACTGGAGTAGTTTATTCCAATTAGTAAGACCTAGAAATGTTTTATGTTCTGGGAGATTAAAACAACTATATCTTTTCATGAAAGTGGTGTTTACTTTGAGGTTAAGTCTAGCTACTTACTCAGGTTAGGAATCCGAGTAACTCTTGCACAATCTAGAACCTCTACTTGCAGGCATTAAGAGATGTTATATTTACACAGAGTCCTCACAGTGTTCAGCAGCTTCTGAAGCCTGCAGTGCAAATATTGTTAATATTCAGGCATGTAAGACTGTATTAAATGACACCGACGGTACAACAGACCTACAAAGGCTAGGAAATACAGAGTTGAGGCTGAAACTTGCAAGTAGGCACAACATATTCATGAACTGTAAGATCACTTCATAGTTACAGACACCCATCACACAGTGTCTGGTCATAAAAGGAAGAGCTGATTGTGGTTCTGTCTTGGCTCTGTTTTTCTTTGCTTCTGTGGATGCAAATCAGACCTTCGGTACGAAATGAGAAGTCATTTATTACATTAACTTTTCCGGTTTTCTCATCTTCTGATATAGGGGAGGAAAAAACAAACAGCAGGGGCAAATAAATGCCTGCCAGGATCCTCAGTTCCCACAGTGCAAATACTATCTTTAGTAATAACAAGGGTTTGTGGGATAAAACAGTGATAAGGATTTTCCACTTTGTGTCATTAACATACATTCACAACATACACTGTCACACCTACAGTGTAATCTGCAACTGCAGTAAATACAACAGGACTGCACAAACCAAGTCTGAATTATTTCTTGGTCAACACATACGCACAGGATCTTGAGTCTTTTTTTTTTTCCTGGTTGAAGGGATTCACCAGTTCAAACTGTAGACCAGTGGCCTATGAGTCTGTTTTCCTTATTGTCTGGGGTTTTTAAAAATGCTATGTTAGAGATGCAAGAGTGCATCCAAAAATCAGTAAAATTTTTTTTTTTTTAATCTGTACATCTGTATTTTAAAATAACTACCTCGAAGGTCAACATTTTACATAATTATTTTCAATCTAAAGGAAGTGCTGTAAATAATGTAAACTCCTGAAAATAGGAGTTTCTACATGAAATATGGACAAACACAGACCTAGCCTCACTGGATGCTAGTATACTATATACATTTTCTCTTGGGTTTAACAGAGCAAGTAAATCAAATCTAGAGTTTATACTCCTATAGAGCGTTACTGTTAACAACAACATGAGTTATTTGAGTAAGTAATCGTCACCCATACCAGCCAGATCATTTCACAACAGGATCTGCAGGCGTAGGGTTGGAAAGGTCTCCGTTGCTTGCTTTAACAGATTCTTCTACTAAAATAAAATAAAAAAAGGCATAGGTCACATTTAACATTTTATTCAAGGCAGCAAAACCAAAGCCTTGGCATATATGTTACGCTGACATCATAACACATTTGATACAGTATCCCACGGTCAGCGTACGCAAACCGACCTCGCGGCACAAAGGGTCCTGGCCCTACGAAGGAATCTGCCTTTGGGGCAAAAGGTTTCTTCAATCACTAGAACTTGTGTAAAAGTGACACATCCGTGCTCACGCGTTTTGCAA